GGCTCTTGGCACCCAGAACCTCAGCCACAGAAGCAGCAGGAGGAGTGGGTGCAGGGCAGCCGGCTGGTGCCTTTTTCTGCCCTTCTCTCCAGAAGGTGCAACAGTGACCAGCGTCGTGGTGCTCAGGGATCACTGTCTCCAGAGGTCCACCGGGCCCCTCATGGGGAGGATCCATCAGAACCTTTAGGGGATTTTTCAACACACCCCCGCATGAGTAGGGTGCAGCCAGCTTTGAGAATCTCTGGGCTAACTTCAGCTGTAATTGGGGCTTATTGGAAACACACAAGACAGTTTCAGAGTTCAGTCAACTGCCTGAGCCAACAAAATAGTGCAGGGCTCCCTGGTCTGGACGGGATGAGAAGCTGGCAGCCCAGGTCCCATGCTCCTCAGGAGGCCTGCTGGCTTTCCCTGTCTCCACCTGCCACCTCAGGGTCACAGGCACTTGCCACCATGAAGTGCTTAGAGGCAGCCTGGCGGTGGGGGCAGAAACACGAAGACGGCCATCAGGAGGGATGGCCACAAATGCTTTGTGACCGCTGCGGACCAACGTGTGGCAAGTGAGGGGCTCCAACAGCCCCAGGAAGTTGTAAGAGGGCCTGGATGTAAGAAGAGACCACTGTGGGTGTGGGGAGCCCCCCCGGGGGGGGGGGGTCCCTGCGAGTACCCATGAAACCACTGAAGAGGGAAGGATGGTGTGATCTCTCTGTGCCCACAGGACACATGGAGGCCAGGCTGGTGGGTGGCGAGCACTCCTGTGCTGGGCGCCTGGAGGTGAGGCGTGGCCTGCTGGGGCACTGTCTGTGACGCTGACCTGGACCTGGCCACTGCCCACTTGGTGTGCCGGGAGCTGCAGTGTGGCACGGCCGTGTCCACACCCAAGGGTACCCACTTCAGCCAGGGCTCGGGGCTCATGTGGACCGAGGCCTTCCGCTGTGTGGGCAATGAGTCCCTGCTGTTCCACTGCTCGCGGGGCTGGGGTACCAGTGTGGGCATGGCCAGATGCAGGGCTCAAGTGCTCAGGAGAGGCCACGAGGGGGGCTCCCAGGCTGGGCCCTGCCTGCTCCCTGCCAGCCTCCCTCTTGGGGTGCAGCTGGCCCACCTCCAAGGGGCCTCCTTCCAGGAGGTGAGCCCATCCCCTTGAGGAAGTGCTGCTTCTGCGTGTTGCGGGCAGGCTTTGGGGACAGAGGGATGTGACCCCAAGGCCGGCACAGTGCCCTGCACACATGTTTCAGCTGGGCATTGCCGCTGAGGCAGGTGGGGAGCTGGCAGAGAAGGGGACCCGGGAGCCCCACCCTGGGTGTGAAGGGAAGAAAGAGCCGGGAGCAGGGCCTGTCGGGGGAGCGACACCCCCACCCCATCCCCCTGCAGAGTTCCGGCTGGTCAACGGCAGCTGCGCCTGCGAGGGGCGCGTGGAGCTCCAGGTCCAGGGGGCCTGGGCGCCCCTCTGTGCCGCCCACTGGGACTTGGCAGACGCCACGGTCCTCTGCCACTAGCTCGACTGTGGGAACGCGGTGGCCACGCCCCCAGGGGGGCCATTTTGGGGGCGGGGCCTCCGCCCTCTGGCCCGACGAGGCGCACTGAGCTGGGACAGAGTCCCACCTGTGGGACTGCCCCGTGAGCACCCTGGGGGCGCCCACCTGTGGCCCCAGCCAGGCAGCCGCCGCCGTCTGCTCAGGTGGGTCAGCGCGAGCGCGGCCGGAGGGGAGACCGGGAGCGGACAGGGCTGCACTGGGAGGCGGCGTCCTCGCCCCGGGACAGGCCGGGTGCCACCCGCCGGCCCCCGCCGCCCTGCAGTGTCCTCCTCCCCCCCCCCCCCCGGCCCCCGCCTCCAGGTCTCCCCGACGCCCTACGGCTGAGGGAGGGACAGAGTCGCTGCGATGGCCGCGTGGAGGTGTCCCTGGACGGGGTGTGGGGCCGCGTCCTGGACGAGGCCTGGGACCTGCGCGGCGCAGCCGTCGTCTGCAGGCAGCTGGGCTGCGGCGCGGCGGAGCGAGCTTATGAGGCGGCGGCGGCGGCGCCCGCGCGCGGGACGGTGTCCCTGGGGCTCAGCCGCGTGCGCTGTGCAGGCACCGAGCCCCGCCTGATGCGGTGCAGCGTGTCCGCGGCCCCGCTGGTGTCCGCGGGGGCGTCGCGTGCTCCAGTGAGTGCAGGCCCAGCCCCCAGGACCCCCTCCCAGGGCCCCCGCGCCCTGAGTTGGCCTCTCCGTCCGCAGGGAGCCTCCAGGTGCGCCTGGCCGCGGGGCCGGGCCGTTGTGCGGGGCCCGTGGAGCTGTTCCACGCGGGCGAGTGGGGCACCGTGTGTGACGACGGCTGGGACCTGCGGGACGCCCAGGTGGTCTGCCGGCAGCTGGGCTGCGGGCACGCGCTCAGCGCCCCGGGGGCCGCGCACTTCGGGGCCGGGCCGGGCGCATCTGGATGGACGAGCTGGCCTGTGAGGGCCACGAGGCCGCGCTGTGGCGGTGCCCGTCGGGGGGCTGGGGCCGACACGACTGCGGCCACAAGGAGGACGCCGGTGTCCTCTGCTCAGGTGGGTGCTGAGATCCAAGTGCCCTCCCAGGGCCGCTGGGTCTCCAGGGGTCTCGCGGTGTTCGTCGTAAGGTAATGGCCAGTGCTTTTCTGGGATTGCACTGAAACGTCCAGGGCTGTTTTCCTGCCGGTTTGAAGAACTCTGCACTTGACTCCTCAGTGCCCTCCTGCTGCAGTGATGCTGAGCGACTGATGCCCCCTTCTTTGCCCTGTGGGCGCGCGGGGGTGGGGGTGGAGTGGGAGGCGCCCTGCGGTGGGCAGAGTGAGCTCGCCTTGCTCCTGCTCTTGGAGTAGCACTGGGGGCCTTTCTCCGCAGCTGCTGGAAGCCCATCTCACAGTTGGACTTGGGGCTTCCCTGTCTTGGATTCTTGATTTTGATCCACATTTCAGTGTGCAGGACGGCTTCTTTCCAGAGTATTGTTGAGGCATGGTAGGAAGATTGCTTGCTTTTAGCTCATACATCTCTGAGGCTTCTTCTGTGCATCTTGTCTGGATGGGATTATTCTCAGTGATGGGGTTTTGTCACATGCTGGAGGCATCTGTGCTTCCTTCCTCCTCCGGGGTCTCTGGGAAACCCTTTGAGAGGGGGTGGGCATCCCTCTGTGGGCTCTTGGCCTCTTCTGATGGATTTTGGTTCCTATTTTAGGTTTAGGAACGTTTTCCGCAACTTGCTTGGATGTCTTAGATGACTGCTTCTTAAGGCACTGCGTTTCTTTTCAAGTAGCAGGCCTGTTGCTCTGGCCCCCAGCCTTGTCACTCATCTGGGGGGTGGGCCTGCTCCTCCCCTGCTTCCCGGGAGAGGGCCTCTCGGCGCTGTCCGCTCACACTGTGCCCTGCTGGCGCTTCTGGTCTTTCTGTCCTTGGACGTACGTCTAACTTCCACTCTTTTCAGCTTGAAGCTCTGCCTTCCTCCGTGCTCTGGGCTCCTCAGGCAGCTGCTGGTGCTCGCTGGCGGACAGGCCTCTGTAGGGGGCCTGGCTGTTGGCAGGGGTGGGGACTCTGCTGTCCCGATTAGCCTGGCAGCAGCGGGGTTCCGAGGGGAGATCAGAGGCAGGCAGGCGCTGTGAGGCCAGGCATGGAGCGGGCACTGTTCACCCTTGCCCCGTGCATTTGGTTGGTGGAAGGTCAGCGGTCAGCCCAGATCCAGGGCTGGGAGTAGACTCGGTGAGGGGGCAGGGACAGGCGGGGATCTGAGTGGCCGCTGTTACTCTATCACACATGTAATTCCTGCCATTTATTTTCGAAGCTTATTTTACCTAGTTAAGATCCTGTCAGATGCAATTCATGTCTCAATTCTTCAGTTTATCCCCATGTATGTATTTTGATGTATTCTGATTATGGGCCCTTTTGACTTATTTTTAGAGGGTTGTGTCCTACTCCACTCTGTGGTCACGTTATAGTCGGCTTAACATACTCCTTGTTCCTGGACTCTCACCACTCCAGGGTAACAAGACACTACTTGGGTGCTGACCAGCCAGGACCAATGACAGACTCGGAGATCGGGCTAATTCCTTTTTTGTTGTTGAATTTTTACAGTCACTGCTAAATTGATCATGTTGTTTGAAAGGGTTATTCTGTATCTGAGTGACTTCCAGGGACAGATTTCTACAGTCAGTTGACTTACTAGGGATCGCAGCATTGGAGCTGGGGCTTAAATTGGCTTCCTGTGGGCCGCTGCTCCCATCTTGGATGGGGATGGACGGGGATGTGGGTGGTGAGAGCTGGGTGCCGGAGGCCCTGGCTTGGCTCGGGTCTTGGTGCTGGGGGCCCCTGGTTTCGGCCTCCTCCTTCAGAGCCCCTGACCCGAGGGGCTTGTCTTCCAGAGTCAGTGGCCCTGCGGCTGCGCGGTGGTGCCGGGCCCTGTGCCAGGTGGTTGGACGTGTTCCACAATGGAACATGGGGGGCCGTGTGCAGTAACGCCCTGAAGGACGCCTCCTTGTCCATCATCTGCCAGCAGCTGGGCTGCGGGGAGCAGGGCTGGCTGGAGAGCAGACCGGGCCACAGCAGCCTGGGCACCTCCTGGGTGGACAACATCCAGTGCCGCTGGCTGCGGACCTCCACGCTGTGGCAGTGCCCCTCAGCCCCCTGGCACCCGCACTCTTGCACCCATGGGGAGGAAGTCTGGATCACCTGTGCAGGTAGGCCCTGCCACCTACTGCCAGTGGGCAGACTCTGGGGGCCCTGGAGGCAGCTTCAGTGTCCTGACAGGTCATCTGCAGGGGCTGCCATTCACCGATGGCTGGGGGTGGTGGGGTCTCTGGGCTCTACTGGTTCCGTTCTGAAGCTTTTCTGAGCACTTATACTGGGTGAACCGCTATTTGAATCCACATGATCATCAGGGACAACGCTGCAGGATTCCGGGGAGGCTCTCAATTGCTCCTTGATGGGCAGCTGCCCAGGCACCCCCCCACTGCCCCCCCCAATCCTCTCCCCATCCGGGTCCTGCCCCGCGGTGACCACAGACCCCCCTTGCAGAGGAGGGCGAGCTGTGTGTGTGCGGGGGTGAGGACCGCTGCTCGGGCCGCGTGGAGCTCTGGCAAGCGGGCTCCTGGGGCACTGTGTGTGATGACTCCTGGGACCTGGCGGACGCCGAGGTCGTGTGCTGGCAGCTGGGGTGTGGCCGGGCTGTGGGAGCCCTGGCGGGGGCCGCCTTCAGACCAGGCTTGGGGCCTGTGTGGCTGGATGAGGTGGGGTGCCAGGGCAACAAGGCCTCCCTTTGGGGCTGCCCAGCAGAGCCGTGGGGCCGCGGAGACTGCGGGCACAAGGAGGATGCGGGCGTGCGCTGTGCGGGTGAGTGGTCCAGGGGGGGCTCTGTCTGCCCCCTCAGTGGGGTAAGCAGACTGGTGGGAGGGATGGGAACCAGTTGACGAAAGGGGGGCCTGGTGGGTGGTAGTGTCCTACCCAGACAGGACTGTTACACGGCTGGGGATCTTCTCGTTGTTCTGCACCCCTATTCCCAGGAAGCTCTAAGTGTCCATGAGGAGTACTGGGGTCTCTGCAGCATGAGAGTCCCACAGTGCAGAGCTTGGGAACTCACCAGGCCCTTTTCCTGCAGCCATGCCTGGGCCAAGCGATGTGGCACACAGGGGGTCTGTTTGATGTACTTGTGATTGTGTGAGTGTGTGAGCGCTGTGTGCCTGTGTCCATATGTAAATTGTGTGTGTGTGTGTGTGTTTATGCATGTATGTGCTGGATTCTTGAGCTGCCAATGTGGCCTGGTTGGTCCATGTCCCGTGGGGGCATCCCTGGCTTGCTCTGGGGATAAAGTTGGCCGTGTAGGAACACTCGGGCTCCAGTCGGTGGGGAGCTCCACTGGGTCCAGGGTTGAGGACTTTGCAAACCTGAGCGCTGGCCAGTGGGCCCCTGGTGAAGCTGGGCAGCTCAGGACTGGCCCAGGCAGGGGCAGCAGCCCTGCTGTCCTCATGTCCCTCCTGTCCCTGCTGGAATGTGGCTACAGCCCACCTTGGAGATGTCCCCTCAGCCCATCCTCAGAGTGGTTTTGCTGGGGCAACACCAGGAGCTCAGAGGCCGAAGGACAGGTGGGCTGCACCATCTGCCCTCAGCTGGAGGTCTGTGTGACTCCCTCTTTCTTATAGGAAAAGCAGACATGGGAGGAGCAGCTTAGGAAAGCCTGATCTCAAGGAGGGTCAGGCCAGAGCTGGCCCTGGCTGGACACATTCTGCAGTCTCTTAGCTGGGCTTCCCACCATCAGGCCTCCCCTGAAGCGCGTCCTCAGGTCCCATGTGGGGTCATGCCCTGTTGCTCTGTGGCTCTTCCTCTGGAGCTAGGCTGATGTCCAGGGGTGAGCCTGCCTTTCTGGGCTCTTCCTGGCACTGACCCAGGGCCTCTGCTCCATCTTGGCACAAACCTTTCTCCAACCCCAGCAGAGCCAGCTGCACCTCACCTTTGCTCCAAAGTTATCTGTAGAGTTTTCATGCCAGTCACATACGTGCACACACACCCCTACAACACACATGCACACAACCCCCCACAACATATACACACGTGCACACCCCCCACAATATACACACAGGCACATACACCCTCACAACATACACACATGCACTCCCCCCCAACATATACACATGTGCACACACCCCCACAACATATACACACATGCACACACACACCCACAATATACACATACACACCCTCACAGCATACACACATGCCCACCCACCCCCACAACATATACATTTGTGCACACACACCTTCATAACATAACATATGCAAACATACTCACCACCCCACAACATACACACGTGCACACCCCCACAACATATACACACGTGCACACACACTCCCACAACATATACATACATGCACACCCCCATAACATATGGACATACAAACACCCCACAACATATACATACCTGCACACACACCTCCACAGCATACACATGCATACACACCCTCACAGTGTATACATATGTGCATACCCCCAACATATGCACACATGCACACACACCCCAACATATATACACGTTCACACCCCCCCACAACATGCACATATACACACACATCCTCACAACATATACACATGCACACACACGCCCACAACACACACACACACGCACCCTCACAGCGTGTACATGCATGCACATGCACCCCCACAATATGCACACGTGCACACACACCTCTGAGCTGCTCTCCCGTGGGCATCACTGCTGCCTGGCTGAGTCCTCTGAGCTCCCCTACACAGGGCCCTCACAGCTCCGTGCCTCTCACACCCAGGGCTTCACCCACAGCATGAACACAAGGGGGCCTTCAGTTGAACACCATACTGAGCACGCTCCTCCCCTCTGGGCATTTCCCTGCAGGACCTGTGGAGTCCAGCCAGGCACCCCTGCCAAGCTCACAGGGGACACTGCCTACCACCGTGGCCATCATCATCCTGGGGGCACTGCTCGGCCTTGTCTTCAGTGGGCTGGCGGCTAGGATGTTGCTTGGGAAGCTGCGGGGCAGGGGTAAGTGTCCTGGGAATTCAAGTGTCCTGGCCCTTAGGAGTGCACTGGGGACCCAGGCCAGAGAGAAAGGAGACCCAGTGGAGAAAGCAGGAGATGGATGCACATGTGCCCCACACAGCGCTGGGGGGGTAGGGGGAGGGTGTGGAGCTGCTTCAGTAATCCCAGAGGTTCGTGTGCCCGCTGACTAGGGCTTCACTACTGAGGTCTGGAGCCAGTAACTCTGCCGTGGGCATCCCGGGTGCCGTGGGTGCCAAGCAGCACCTTCCCCCACGCTGCGACAACCGCAAGTGTCTCCAGACACGACGAGCTGTCCACTGGGCAAAGCTGCCTGGATCAGGAGCTCCAGGATCAGAGGCAGGTTTGATAGGACGAGGAGCGTTCTTCCAAACCACCACCAGCCTGTAGGATCTGACAAAGGAAGTTTCCTTATTTATGAATTTATTTGTGTAAAAAGTCTTAAAATACAAAGATATTAACTCCTTAGTAATTATACATGTAATGAGTCATCTATAGAAAAGAACACTACATAGAAAAAATAAATTTTAGCAAAATTGTAACATGGGGAAGGTTTTGCTAACCTGGAACCTGAGTGGTGACTCAGCTCACTCAGTAAGTATGACTTTCGTCAACCTGTCAGTGGCAAGTCTCCTCATGTTGCATTTACACTCTATTCGCTGATGATTTCACTCATCTAAAATTGTTCACTTTTGAGATTTTCAGTGGCAGCATTGGAGGATGATTCAGGCAGTTCCGTTATACTTCAGATATTTACATCCTTGTGATAGGAATTCTCCTTTGTGATCAACTGTTATGCTTATCTTTGTTCATGAATGTGCATTTAAGTGTAGTTTAAGGAACAGTATTCATTATAGAGACTGGACTACAAAAAAGAGGCGGAACATTGCCTGACTGTTGTGTTAGGAGGCCAGGGTGGGTAGAGGTGATTTGAAGCCTTCTGTTAGCAGCTGTAAGGGTTCAGCTGGACACAGCCCCTCAGGACGTGTCCCTGTCTCTCAGGCTCTGAGAGGGGGTGCCCATGGGTGTGGTGTCAGGTCTGATATGTCTCAGCCCCTGTTCAGTACATTAGCAGAATCAGAGCACCCTGGGTTCAACCAGAGATGCATTACACTATGGGTGTGGGGTTGAGTCCCAGCCCAGCCCCGCCAGAGCCTTGTGGCTCCCTCACCCTCACGGTGCCATTGCAGAGTTAAGTCAGACAGTGTTCAAATGTGCAGGTGATCAGTACGTGAGTTATTATTACTGGGCCCTTAACTATAGCTACTGATAACTATAATATGATGACAGTGCAAGTGTTCACCATCCTTTGTAATTAACTGACAGTCTCCGGAAGAGATTCTCAGAATGTGATTATTTGGAACTTGTATGGTAGTGCTGTCATGGACACTTTCAGAGACTTATCAAGAAGTAGGCAAATGCTTAGAAAGGAAATTGTTACTTAATCTCTGACCTCACAAGTTGTTCAGCAAGTTAATAAAAATATAACCATCAGCACTGGGAATCCTTTTACATTTAAGGACAGAAGGATGGAAGCAGGCAAATTCCTGCTGCCAATCTTCTGATATCTGAAACAAGAGGTAGTTTTATTTCTTGCTGTCTGGGTTTAGGTTGATGCTCCCAAAGACAAGCCCTGCCTAGTGTCTTTGTACGTTGGTTGTGCAAGCCCCCTGCCATGGATCTGACCTGGATTCCACACTGTCACCCTGCACCCATCTCTCTGAGTTGTCCGACCCTATGTGGGCACCCAGCTGCCTTTGCAGACTCATAGGTGCAGAGAGCTGCTGACCTGGGACATGACTAGAGTCCACACCTCCATTTGGAGGCTGAGCTGGAGCTGGGAAGGGGCCGGGACAGATAGGAGAGGTGCTGGGGCCGGTGAGGACACCATGAGCCCCCGGCCTGGGATAGAAGGGGCCTGGGATAGATAGGGGCCTGGGATAGATAGGGGCCTGGGATAGATAGGGGTCTGGGATAGAAGGGCTGGGACAGACAGGAGAGGTGCTGGGGCCGGAGAGGACACGGTGAGCCCCCGGCCTGGGACAGCTGTCCTCAGCTCCGGGGCCGCAAGGGCCCAGAGCACCGAGGCTGGAATTGGAGACTGCTTCGAGGACACTGCTGCCTACAAACGCCCGTCTGAATCGTGAGGCAGCCCTGGCAGCTTGGGCTGCTCCCCACCCGTATAGAGGCTGTTTTTCTTTTTCCAGGACCTCCCCGGGTGGGGTCTCTCAGTGTGCTCCTTTGCAGAATCCCAAGGACACGAGGAAGTCTCTGAGGTCATCTATGAGCAGATCCTTGAGGAATGGGTGGACTCAAGTGGTGCAAACCTGAGGCCTGGGACCTCCCTGCCTGGTGAGTGGTGGGCCTTGCACCTCTGCCTTTAGGCTGTCATCAGGATGGGGAGGCATAGCCACCATGACCTTCCCCAAAGCCTTCTGCCATTTCTGATGAGACTAATGTCCATGATGCAGCAGGTGGGCAGAGCTTGTCATGAACGGATGGTGAGTGAGTGTCTGGCAGGTGCTGGCAGCCTGGTTGTCTGAAAAGCTGCAAGGAGGACAGATCTCTGGGGTCAGACAAGGACATGTGCTGAGCAGAGTTAATGTACAGAGATGTGATGGGGTGGGTCCTGCCTCAGGCCCCAGGTGACATTAGGGCGGGCCCTTGGGGCGGGTGGGGACCAGTTTGCCAGAAGCAGGGAGGAGCCTTGTGCTCCCAGGGTGGCAGGAGGCCTGTGGGGGGATGTTCGGACGGGCAGCAGCAGGGCCGGGCTCCAGGACTCATGGACACACAAGTGTGCACCCCTCCCCCTGCCCATGCAGTGTTTGCTGGCTGCACGCTCTCTTAGCTGTCCTGGGTTCCCCGAGGCCCCTTTGCCCTAAGGAGACCCAGTCAAGCCAGCCAGCCTCCTGGCCCATGAGGAGGAGTGATAGAGGGTGCCTACAGGCCAACCAATCTTGACCCATCCCTGGGATCCCACACACTCTGCTCTGGTGGTTAAGGGGTGGTGGGCAGAGCATACCTGGAGTCAACCCAGGGGAGTTAAGCACCTGAACCAAGGCTCCTGGGGTGGGTCAGAGAAGGCCAGCACAGAGCCCACCTCCAAGGATGCGCTGGGGTCAGGGGTCAGGAGGACTGGCGAGCAGTCATTAGAAGCCAGGCAGCCCCTCCCTTACTCTCTCCCTCGAGGGACATGGCCTGAACAATTCTAGCGAGTCTTTTGGACAAACTGGACCAGGTGTCCTGCATAACCCCCCTGTGCCACCCCGGTGGGCCCTGCCCGTGCACAGAGCGTGGGAGCCCCTGAGACCTGATGACCCTGGTAACCCATGCCTCTTCTGGCCCTCAGGTGACCTGCCCGCAGAGGACATGCCCGTCATCACGCTGCAGGCAGGTGGCCCCCCGCAGATGGGACAGGAGCCCCCCTTGCAGGCGTCCTCGGGCTCCAGCTATGACGACATGGGCGCGGCGTGCACAGGGCTGTGAGCCCAGCGCTCCTTCTCCACTGGCTCTTCTGCCCTGGGGCGGTTCCAGGGCGAGCCTTGGTTTTTCCTAGTTTTGACAGATTTGTCTTTGGAAGTTTCCTTAACAATCCCCTCCTCTCCTGACTAATAAAACTCCCTCGATTTAATAAGAGTCTCGCCTTGAGCTTGTGGGAATGGGTTCATTAACCACAGAAACCCTGAACAGTGCAGATGCCCAGTCCGTGCCTCTGCCGGTTCCCATCCAGCAGTGACGGGTGCTAGGCCTGGGGATCTCACCCCCATCGCCTCCCCTCTGAGCGGGCGGGCTGGGTCCCAGATGCCGGGTGCCCCCTCTCTCGCTGTGCCGCCCTTGGGGGGCACCACTCCCTTCCAGCCCTTCAGCGGAGCTGTGTTCCCAGCATGCATAATTTGCGAGGAATGGGGTCCGCTTGTTCCCATTGCCCTGATAGTTCTCCATTTTCAGGCGACTTTTATTTTAATTGGAGGATCATTATTTTTCAATATTGTGATGGTTTTTACTCAGGCAATGTTTTTATCCTTACAAACGAGATATTCTTTGTGGACAATGTGTGAGAGAGGCATCAGAAGAAAGAAATGTTCACCCTGCGGTCAGACTTGCTAACGACTGTCTTCTTAAAAACGTTGTGAGGGGCTTCCCCGGTGGCTCAGTGGTAAGGAGTCCATGGGTTCCGTCTCCAATCTGGCAGGAGCCCACTCCCAGGTGTTGTGGAGCCATCAGGCCTGTGTGCCGCAACTATGGAGCCTGTGCTCTGGAGCCTGGGAAGCGCAGCCGCTGGAGCCTGTGTGCCCCGTAGACCTGCTGGAGAGCAGGAGAGGCTTGTGCCACAGCTAGAGAAAAGCCCTGCCCTAGCAACCAAGACTCAGCATAGCCCAAAATAACTAAACAGATGCCATGTAAAAATAATAAAACATATCTGAAAAGACATGTGAGGGCACTGAGGTATGAATATGTCTCTAGTCCGTGTACCAACAGGATACAGACAGTAAAACACCAGAGATGGAGGGTATGAAGCCTGTAGCGAGATGACTGGGGTCCCACCTGGCCCAGAATGGACAGCTTTCACATATCCAGAGCTCAGAGCTGTGAGAGCACTGTGAGCACACATACGTATACTGCACACTTGGGGCCCTGCCTCCACTAGGTTCCAGGCCCAAGGCGAGATCCCCTCCTCCATGACATGTTTTTTCAGGCAATAGATCTGCTATTTTGGTTTCCATTTGCTTTGGTCCTCTTCCATATCTCAGTTCCTTTTTTTCTGGTAGGGAGGAGGAATGCTTTTATTGGGACCATGTGGCCTCAACACTGAGGCCAGCTCCTGGGTGTATGTGTGTGTGCGTGCGTGCGTGTGTGTGTGTGTGTGCGTGTGTGTAGGGAAAGATGGCAGTGGTCAGGCTCTCTCACCCCACACCCTCTTGTTCTCACCCCACGTTTTGTAAATAACGGTTATATAACAGCTGAGATCACTTACAGCACACATGATGCACACATGCATCACCAGGTACTTGCTTGGCCACAGGCTACTTTTGTTATGAAAGTGTATATAATTTCCACCTGGAAAACCCCGGCAGGTGTGAGGTTTTGTGTTATATTATGTCTGCTGTTAATGGCTGCTGCGCCAGCCAGGAGAAAATAAACATGTCTGCAGCTCCTACAGCTCCTCGCATTTTTCTCGCAGCCTTTTAGCTTGTCCCATGCCTACCAGGGGTTTAGCGAACAGTGCACACAGTGAGATACAGCGACACAGTTGGTATAGCCAGCAGGATACCCAGCAGGTAGAAGAGCCTGAGGCGTCACTGGATGAAGGAAGCCAGGGGCCACCATATAGCATGTGGTACCATGTGGCTGCGATCCTCTCGGCGTGGGCTCCAGTGGAAGACAGAGAGGCGATGGACAGGTCACCGGCTAGCACTGAGAGTCGTTAGGGGCAGTGAGTTCCCGTTTGCTTGGACAAGGCAGCACCCTGGGGTGGATTTTCCTGACTGCCCTGGAGGCGGATGTGGACTGTGCCCTACCCAATGCTGTGCTGGCACGCAGTGTGCGGAGATGCTTGCAAGAGCTAGAGCAACGTATGTTGGAGTTAGAGCAAGAACCCAGCACCTCTGCCAGCGAGGCCAGATGAACGTGGTGAGACTAAGGATGATGATGATGGACCCTGTGAGACTGCAGGTCCCCACATGGCAGCAAGCCCCGTTGTGCAGCAGGCAGGAAGCATGAGTAGCCTATGGCCGGGGGACACCCTCTAGGGGCCCCCAATGTGCCTGGGTTCACGACATATCAACCATATACTCGGGTGGAGTTTGTCGACTTGAATGAGCAGTTTTGGCAAAAGCAAGGGGAGACCTTGGCAGTTTGGCTTTTGCAACTCTGGGATACAGGGGTGGGCCCGGCACCTATGGGGGGTTTTGTGGATCCTTATTGAGAGAAGTCCAGGGAAGGCATGCCAGATGCCATTTTGAAAGTGTGAAGATCCTGAAGGGGGCCTGAGCTGGCAGGGGTCCCATCCGGGTGACACAGATGCAAATGTGGGCTGATTTGTCAAGGACAGACAGTGGACTAGACTTGGCCATGGAAGATAAAGGTACTCCACGTGTGGTGGGTGGCTCTTGTAGCCCCCTGAGGGCAAGGACCGCAACATGAGTTCCAGGTGATACCTGGCGTTAGGTTTTGCTATGTGTTGGGGAAGTAACTATTTGTTGTTGTAGCATCTACTGCTGTTGCAGGATGTGGGTTCGAAGGTCAGTGTTACTCAGAAGATAGAGTGCATGCAGATTGTGAGGCAAGAAACCCCTGAAGGGGTGGAATGTAGGGAAAGAACAAATTAGCCAAGATGGCTGTGGTCAGGCAGTCTAACCCCGTGTCCTCTGATCTCACCCCATGTTTTGTAAATAATGATTAAGTAACAGCTGATGTCACTTATAGCACTGCACATGTGTGTCATGAGGTATTCGCTTGGCTACGGGCTACTTTTTTTCTGTAAGCGTATATAACTTCCACTTGGAAAGGCCTGGAGGGTGTGTGTTGTGTTATGTCTGCTGCTATGGCGGCTGCACCAGCCAGGAGAGAATAAATCCATCTGCAGCTCCTACAGCTCCTCACATTTTCTTCCAGCCTTTTAGCTCGCCCCTTGCCTACTATGGATTCAGTGAACAGTACTTACAGTGAGATACAGTGAGCCAGTGTGTGTGTGTCTGGGGGAAGGGTTCTTGTATTTGCCCTCCTCTTCTTACAGAAAATAAAGAAAAATGCTCGTGAATACTTAGCATCGGGAGCAGTTCATCAGTTTTCAGAGGTCAGAGCTTATTTAGTTATGGAAGCATCATTTCTCTTGTATATCATGAACTCTGTTTCATGCTTCATTCTACCCACTTTATCCTTCTCAGTGTCCTTTAGATGAGTGGTTTTTATAGGAACAGCTTGTTTACTTAGCTGTGGTTTCCTTTTCTTTCAACACCCCCCCCCCATGGCAACTTGGCTGTGAGGCTCCTCAGATGTCTCCTGACGTCTCCTGAGTCCTCTGGGTCCTCCTTAGTTTCGTCCCAAGCTCCTGGTTCATCCTCCCCAGCATCCCTTGTTTCCCCTTTGGAAACCAGAAATTCACTTTCAATATCTACAAGTCCGCTTCTGTTTAGCAAATAAGTTCATTTGTATTTTTTAAGAATTAGATTTCACATGTGAGTGATACCATATGATATTTGTCTTTGTCTGATAATCTCTAGGTTCAACCATGATGCTGCAAATAGCACATTTCATTCCTTTTATGGCTGAGTAATATTCCATTGTATACATGTACCCCACAGTTTCTTTATCTTTTCCTCTGTTGATGGACGTTTAGGTTGACTCCATGTCCTGACTATGTCAATAGGGCTGCAATGAACATAGGGGTGCATGTATCCTTTTGAATTATGGTTTTTGCAGGTGTGTGCCCATTAGCAGGATTGCTGACTCACATAGTTTTATTTCTAGTTTTTTAAGGAATCCCCATACTGTTGTCCAGGGACTTCCCTGGTGGCTCAGTGGTAAAGAATCTGCCTGCGGTGCAGGAGACACAGGTGACATGGGTTCAGTCCCTGGGCTGGGAAGATCTGGAGGAGGGCATGGCAACTCACTCCAGTATTCTTTCCTGGAGAGTCCCATTGACAGAGGAGCCTGGCTGGCTACAGCCCATAGGATTGCACACAGATATAACTGAAGCACACATACGGAGCGCACATACTCTTCTCCACAGTGGCAGTACCAGTTTACATTCACACCAACCATGTAGGAGGGTTCCCTTTTTCTTCACGCCCTCTTCAACATTTATTGTTTGTAAACCTTTTGATGATGGCCATTCTGACTGGTGTGAGGTGATATCTCATTGTAGTTTTGATTTGCATTTCTCTAATAGTGCTATTGAGCATCTTTTCATGTGCCTTTGGCCATCTGTATGAGGCTTCCCTGCTGGTTCAGACAGTAAATAATCTGCCTGCAATGCAGGAGACCTGGGTTCAATCCCCGGGTTGGGAAGATCTCCTGGAGAAGGAAATGGCAACTCACTCTAGGATTCTTACCTGAGAAATTCCATGGATATAGGAGACTGGCGGGCTGCAGTCCATGGAGTTGCAAAGAGTCAGACTGAGAAAGTAGCACTTTCATTTTCATGTCTTCTTTGGAGATCTGTCTATTTAGATCTTCTGCCCATTTTTTGATTTTGAGCTGTATATTTTGTATATTTTGGAGATTAATCCCTTGCAAATGGCTTCATCATTTGCAAATATTTTCTCCCATTCTTTGGTTGTCTTTTCATTTTGTTGATGATCTCCTTTGCTGTGTAGAAACTCTTAAGTTTAACTAGGCCACATTTTTATTTTTGTTTTTATTTTCATTACTCTAAGGTAGGTGATTCAAAAAAGATGTTGCTGTGATTTATGTCAAGTGCTCTGCCTATGTTTTCCTCTACAAGTTTTATAATGTCCACCCTTACATTTAAGTCTTTGATCTAT